GCCCCTAGTAGCTTCTTGCTCCTAGTAGCGATGCCCTTTGCTCCTAGTAGCGTCCATTTGTTACTAGTAGCTTCTTGTTACAGGAGCGCCTCTAGTAGAGTCCTTGCTCCTAGTAGCGATGCCAGGAGCCCCTAGCAGCTTCTTGTTACTAGTAGCGATGCCCTTGTTACTGGTAGCGTTCTTGCTTCTACCTCCAACCTACTAGCGATGGCCTCCAATGATCCTCTAAAGTCATTGAAATAGAGTGATGCGCAAAACCTGAAATCGAGAAACTGTTGCGCTGCCTGTCCTGTCCGGAGGAAGAGCGCGCAAAGGAAAAATATCAAAAGACGTTTATCCGATCCTCTATCCGATCCTGCCTTCAATGTCACCCGCAACTTTCACCTCCATCCTATCCGCTATCCGCTATTCTATCCTCCTACCTGTCCCCTCTCCTACTACTATATAGTTGTTTTTTTTTTGACCTTTCTATTTTTGCAAGTTCGTTTCTTCCTTTCCCTTCCTCCAAGAATGCCACTTGAACGGTCTTATTCTGAACTTCGTCCTGTCTTCTATTCTGTCCTTCTTTGTCTTCTGTTCAAACCTGCTTTATTCTCTGATGCTGCTCTTGCTCCTTGCCCTCTATCCCATCAAAACTACCACTTCACACTCAAGCTGCACTTCGCCATCAAGTTAGCAAAGGTGATCAGCGACAAACAATCACGTCTTGTCTTTGGGATCCACTCCACAAAAACGCCTGCCCTTCAGGCACTCGCAAGGCTGGACCCGGAAAGAGTGCGCATGTTTTGTTGCAAAGCAGTTAAAGACATTTTCCTTTTTTGTTCTGGACAGACTTCTAGCCATGCAACCTCAGAGCGACGGCCTCCAAACCTCCCGTCGTGCTTTGGGTGCCAGGCAGTTCCCCGAGCCTCTCAATGATGTCTACCGGGTGGAGGCCTTCGTCGTTCGGTGCCTTAGAGGACCAAAGGAGACGTAGAACGAGGACCAAGAAAAGGAAAGCAACTTGAAAAAAGAAAAGACCTAAAACTGGGAAGGAGAAAGACAATGAAATGGCAGAATCAAAAAGACCAAAAAGATCGAAAAGATCAAAGGAACACATTTACTACTTATTGCTGTATGTTGAGCTTCATCTTGGTCGCCATGTCAAGAAGCTGGGTGAAAGTTCCTCCCTCCCAGGGGCAAGGCGCCTTCAGTACTGTTTGGCGTGCCACACACAGAACATCTGGGCAGGCTCGATCCCATTGCCAGAAATCGGTCGGGGTGTTCTTGGATTTGCATTTGCTGCTCTCAATGGTGGCAAGAAGTACTATTAGTAGCGTCTTGCTCCTAGTAGCGATGCCAGGAGCCCCTAGTGCCGCCCTTGCTCCTAGTAGTAAGGCCAGGAGCCCCGAACGTAGCGTCCGATCGGGTTCGGCCTCGGCCTTGGATGGTCTTGGGCTTCACAGTTCGGTCTCTCCCGGCAGGTGCGAGCCATCAAGAAGATTGACACCACTGACCTGTCTCCAAGGGAAATTGCCCATGAGGCACGTTGCCGGCCCTGCTATTTTCGCTGTTCGTGGAATATGTTCTTTTCAAACATTTCAAAAGGCATATTTTCTTTACTAGTAGTAACAGGTGCCACGCTAGTAGTAACAGGTGCCACGCTAGTAGTAACAGGTGCCTTACTAGTAGTAACAAGAAGCTACTAGGAACAAGTGCATCCCTGGTAGTAACAAGTGCCTTACTAGTAGTAACAAGAAGCTATATTTTCTTTACGTCTCATTGGCTCTACGTCTTTTGGAGACACGTGGCTCAAGAGCTGCGAGCATGTTTCGGTCTGAAGAACTCTGGACATGAGTCTTGGTCTGAATCAGATTCTCACGTTGTTTTTTCTGAGTGACATGAATGAAAGGCTGAAATGAAAGACATGACAGGAAGAAATGACAAAAACAAAAACAAGATAAAAGAGAGAAACAACATTAACTTTCGATTCCAGAGAAGATAGATAGTCTACAGACTTCACAGAGAAAACGCAGATTTTGCCATGCTCTCCTTGCGTCTGAGGTAACTGACTGCATGAGACGCTTGGCAGTGCTGCTGATCCCAAGCTCTTTGGGCTCGTAATGTCAGAAATGGCGTGGCAAGTTTCCCTCAAAGTCAGGGATTTCGACGAAAAAAAGGGACCCCAAAATCGATGACCATTCACGAACAGGTTCTTCTTAAGCAAGCTCCCCTGGCTTCCTTCGCAGAGAAGGTTCCTTCAGAGACGCTGAAGGCGAGCTTTCGAAAGCGTCATTACTCACCGCGGTCATACTCAGCCCGTTCGTAGCGTCCTCTTGGCTCCGTTCGTAGTGAGGCCAGGAGCCCCAAACGTAGTAGCGATGCCCTTTGCTCCTAATACTTTGGAGATATCTATTTTGTCCCTTTATTACATTGAATTCTGATCAAACAGATGTCCCTCTCATCCTTCTGGTGCTCACCTCGGGGCCAGAAGAATTCCGCCCAGCTGGTCCTTACTGCCTTACCCGGACCTTGTGATCTTCTTGTTCCTAGTAGTAGGGCCAGGAGCCCCTAGTAGCATCCTTGCTCCTAGTAGTAAGGCCAGGAGCCCCTAGTAGCGTCCTTGCTCCTAGTAGTAAGGCCGGGAGCCCCTAGTAGCGTCCTTGGTAAGGCCAGGATGCTCCTTGTAGTAAGGCCAGAAGCCAGGAGCGTCCTTGCTCCTAGTAGTAAGGCCAGGAGCCCCTAGTAGTGTCCTTGCTCCTAGTAGTAAGGCCAGGAGCTAGTAGCGTCCTTGCTCCTAGTAGTAAGGCCAGGGGCCCCTAGTAGTGTCCTTGCTCCTAGTAGTAAGGCCAGGAGCTAGTAGCATCCTTGCTCCTAGTAGTAAGGCCAGGAGCCCCTAGTAGTGTCCTTGCCCCTAGTAGTAAGACCAGGAGCTAGCAGGAGTGTCCTTGCTCCTAGTAGTAAGGCCAGGAGCCCCTAGAGTGTCCTTGC